AAGAAAAATCGTTTCACATCCGTGTGTTTGGTGCGCTTCTTGCCTTCGCAAGATGATATGTTTCATTCCAAGCTTATTCATCATTGTTTTACATTCAAAGACCATTCTCTCAAACGATTATATAAAATCTATATCTCACGTTGCTTAAGCCTCGCGGATTTAATACGATTTATTCGCCTTTCATGTTATTACAATATGTGGCACCCAAACAAATCAATCCATTCATTCGAAGTGAATAGTCTTGCTACTCTTTGCCGATTGCAAGTGAGAAGCTTCTTCTGAATTTCATCTCTCCATCTCGTCTTCGGTCGTCCTGTGGACTCTTATGAGGTGATCGCCATCTCGTAGGTCTCTTAATTATTTTATCGCCTTTTTGTTGGCGAGATTTCACGTTTCCAAGCCTCACGGAATGAAACAAAGTTTGATCAATCAACATACATACAACAAGAGTATACTGCACTTAACATCAAATGTGAGGGCATATTCTATGTGTTTTACAACTGTTTATCACTCCGTACCACCCTGTGTAGGCTGAATTAATTTTTTTTGCTGATTCTGTGCTATCAGAGGCAGTGTAGGGGTTAAGCTTTGGTGGGGTTCCTTATTAAATCACTAACCTCCAGGCCCAGTCTGGCTGGTTGATGTTACCCCTTCCCGAGATAAAAGCCCTTGAGCCGGCGCGCGTCGGACGACTTCGCTTAGCTGTTCGGCGTAAGACCCCACGAGAGCTCCCGCATTGCGAATGCTATCCAAAGCAAAAGCTACAGTACGGCAGGGTCTTCGCGCCAGAGCCTCTCAACTTTCCAATGAAGTGTCCGAGCTGCTTTTTGGAAATTAGATAAACGCCGCAAACACGGTCTTTTCATCCTTCAAAGCTCAAATCAGGTTCTACATGCCAAGAAGGCCTAAAACTTGCAGAAAGGCGGGTATGCAAAATGTGCCGGGACACTATCTTCGAAGGATCTTCTATTGAACTTCGGGCTATCTCAGACCCAAATGTCTGATCTGAAACTTCAAATAATTCGCTGATTCTATTCGCCCCCCCCTCCCACCTTACCCCTTCCTTGAACGCAGGTTAATGTTTTTCCTTGAATATTGGAAAGTACCACCACAATAAATGTGTCAATGTCCTACAGCAATAAGAATTTCTCAGGCGCAACTCTAAGAACCAGTACTATTCGCGCAAGCCTGGTAGGAAGTAACATGCTGATCTATTCTTGCAGAATGAGATGTTCTAAAAAATTAGTGGTGCCCATGCTGAGCGTATCAGCCTAGTAGCTTCTGGTCAGCTACAATAATCTCATTTTTAGTACCAAAAAAGGTCCACTTCAAAATATCCACTCTCATCCAAAGATTGTTTGCTCACGTCATTTTTGACCAATATGTATATGTTTGTCCTTGATAAATGTCGCCATTTGTTGAGCCGATATTCTGATGGAAAGCAGCCAAGCTATTGGAAACTATGTAGAAACCACCTGATTTTTGATTCTTGGATGAGACTCAACAAGGACAGGTCTTTCGAATGTCTTCTCTACGTTTTGATAGACATAATGGTCAACTCATATGGGCAGTAAGCTGAAAAGAAGATTGAAGCATCAGCATGTGGTCTTTATAATCTGAGCCATCTGCTTTGTCGCTGCTCATAACTCGTTAGCTGATTATCAATTGAGTAGTTTTCTTATCTAAACTACCACTAAACGTGCTCGTTTAGTATATCGCACGAAATCGTCAACACAAAAGTAACTATATTTGGACACCTTTTGAATTACCTCAATCACATTACTTGCTTGATTACAATCTATGAGTTGTAACCAGGGCTCAGCACAGCTGGCACCGGGTCAAGCTGGATATCGTTTTTAGCGCGCAAAGCAAAGCGAATATCGTTTCTACAGGGGCCGAGGCGGAGAACTGCCGCAAAAATGCCGCCGGCATGCCACTGGCATGACATTGGCAAGCTGTCCATCAACAAACAAAGGCGTTGTTTTCAGCCAAAACGCAATAGTATGACACCAAATTTGGTGTGTGCATGCGCGTTGATGGACCGGAACTACGGACCAGAAATTTATGAAAACTTATGTGAATGAAAGCTGTGCCCAACTTTTTTCTGAATTAGCTGGCACCGTGCCAGCTGGGTGCCAGCTGAGCTGGCACCGACACTTTGCTCACATAAGTTTTCATACTTTTTTACATAAAATGTATCTACACCGTAAAAGATTACATACGGAGAAGAAACAGTTTCATAATGTTGTCTTTTCAGCGTTTTATAGCAATTTGAAAACCACTCGATCCGCTCCGCCGTCGAAAAATCGGCTTTTTCTGCTTCTCAAGATGTGATTCGACCACTTAAAAAGCTTAGAAAGCTCTGAAAAGTTCTTTCACGAAATCAGAAATGCATGAAAACACTACTACATTTTTTTACATAATATAAAAATGATGACGGGTTTTCAAAACAGGTCAAAAGGGACTTCGTAAGAAATTTTCAATATCAAACGGGACTTCGTTTTGAAATTTCCCTGGTGCCAGCTCGTGCCGAGCCCTGGTTGTAACCCTGTGCGCATTCTAGCTTCTGTGTCCTTATCTAAGAATGACTTTTGCCTGTCGTCATTTGTCAAATTTTTTCAGCCTCAATAGGCTGGTAATCCGTTTTTGCTTCTCTCGTAGTTGAGCAATGGAGTTAAGATGTTATACAAATTTATTTTTACATCCATGTTTTAGTGGCACTATTTCCTTTGAAAATAGTGTTATCGGCTTTCAAATGTGTTTCTATGTCTCAGACGCTTAGAATTTTATGAAAGTTTACAAGGCTTTTAGCGTAATTTCTTCGTCTTTACTCAAGAAGAAAGGTAATCCATCCATCTGCTTCGAAAGTCACTTCCTACAGCTTACTTACGATTAATTTCCATGCTATTATGAATCGAAATTTTGTTTACACTATGTCTTATTATCAGATCACAGTAGTGATTTCACAGAGGTGACTCGCTGCTACTTGTTTATCTCTCCAAGTATTACTACACATTAGTGGTATATTGCCTCTCTGCTTTTGAATGTACTCCTTTTTTTTCTTTCATTTCAAAACTACTCCTGCTTATTCGCTTGTCAATGAATTAAATGACAGGAGGAAAAATTCTGTGGCGACTCGGTGGGATCAGCACCTTCCGCGAGTGCTCGCCGCAGCTAGATCCCTTTGTTCCCTACATTATATTGCGCGTTAAGGTAGAGTTTGCGGTCCGCGACGATAGTTTGCGACGCCCTATAGGTCGCTGCCGAGGACTGCCCTTACCCGCATAATAATATGACAGGGTGTGAACGCTAAAAGAGAGCCGACTAAATTAAATACATTTATCTTTGAACACAAAACTACACCCTAAAACTACTAAATAAGTAAAAGAAGAAACAAGGGGGGGGGGCTGCATCGCCCTATGCTACCGTAGTCTTATCTCAAACAATGAAGTTCCCGATGCCTCACTCAACAGATCCATTATCAGTCGCCCAGACCCGAAGGAATCGGTGCAACCTTCTCTGCTCCGGATTTCAAGTTCAACAACAGTTCCAAAGGAGTTGCTTTTATCTTGCGCGTCCTGCGCTTAAACTGTCCCAAAATCCTGTGCAACGCTTCAACCGCTTGGTTCATAAAAACACATCCATTGCGGGAGCTCAAGGCACGATCATGCAATATCAAAATCACAGACAAAAGTAAACAATAAAGATAAAGACGAAAGTGAGCAGGCGAGCAAATGAGGCGCCGCCGCCTTATATAGCCGTTTTAATGGCTACATGCCAACAAGAAGAGGTCCAGCGGCGATCACGAAGCTAAGACATCATTGTAGTCGCGAGTGGATGTGCGAATCAACCGGTGCTCCCGGCCTCCTACTTTGAGGAGCGCGTGCATCGCTAGCCGCGACAAATTCTTTGTTCAATCGCTGTAAAAGTCACTTTATGCTATGCAAAAACTAGCAATTGAAAAGTGGTTATTTGTTTTTTCTTCAAGGAATCCTTATCGATGACTGCAGCTTTCTTCTATCTCCTCCATTCCGCCGAATCAAACTTTGAGATGTTTGATTTCAATATTTTTCTAATTTGGAGTGCATTTTTTCAAGCATTGGTAGTTGCAAGGTCGGATCGTTGTGGCTCAAATCCTCTCTTAGTTTATCTGCATACGTGTATTTGTTTCAACTAGATCCATACTTGTCAAGCCGTCCTTCCAAGGCCACCGCCATATATAGCGTAAATCTTGCATTTTTGCCCTTTGCTCTTTGGAAGCTAAATAAGCTCAGTGCAAGTGCAGGACATAGTCGTCATTCCGCTGCTGCTTCTCCCTTTTTCCTGATCGGACAACGAGCCCTTTGAGAACGCAGCTGGGCAATCTCCTTATTGCATTTTGTTGTTGTCCGAGTCAATCTGCGCGTTATCTTTCTCATAATCTTTGCCAATGCAGCAGATATTATTGAGAAAAGGCAATAAATATGAAAGACAAATTATGTGCTGCGGCAAGCCTTTTAGATAAAGATAAAGGAAACTAATATCCTAGTTCTGGTCTCTTTCTTTCCCCTGAGAGTTTCGCTTTTTAGGTCCTCCTTTTCGACAGAGGGGGAAGCCGGCTAGGATGACTGATGAATTTCTTAAAAATAACCCTCTAGCCTGCCAGTTTTCAACTTGTGGTCGATTCCTTTAAGGTTAATAAATCAATGCACAGTCGCAGTGATTTATTAACTTTTTGGTCTGAATCATAACAAACAAATTTCCCTATGGATTTTCGAACTTCACATCCTCGTCGAAGATTCTATATCCACTTGCAATCCGCATTCCTTTAAAAAACCCAGTCCTAAAAGTTTTTTTTATTACTACCGACCTTGAAGCCATTTTCCGCTTAATCTTGCAACCTCAGTGGGAAAAAGAGTGCTTTATCTTGTGTAGGAGGCAACCTATCTCGAAAGACATTCCCCTATAGGCTTGGCTATTGGCAACTGAATGCCAATGCTCTTTCTTCATCAATCAATTCGATGACGCATTTTGAAAAATCGCCCTTTGGAGCAGACGAAGATCAGTTTTCCGGTGTCGTCGTTTTGCAGGGTTTTTTTTTTGCTTTTCAAGAATACTTTGTATTCATCACGTGTCGTCCACTACTGTTTCCGTGCCCTGTCGCGGTGAGTACGGAAGTTCATACTTATATCAACTTCTATAACTTTTCTCACCCCTCAAGTCCTAGAAGACTCCAAGTAAGATTGAATTTTTTTTCGCTATAGAAAATATTGATTGCTGCCAAGTAAAATGCTAATGGCCATGGAGCTGTTTTAGAAGTTTTGTACATTTTATCTTCCCTGATTACCACTTTTGGAGGAAATTTGCTTTCGTGAAATTAACATCATCTCAAAGCTCATTTTTCTTCTCTCTTAACAGTTTTTTAACGATTTTCTGTCTTGTTACCTTTTTCATGCCTGAAAAAGGTAACGAAAATTTTATTTTATTCTGTTATGCGCACGTGCAAGAGGAATTTCGAAACCTTGTGTAATGTTTGCTGAGAACTTGTTCTACAGTATACTTGTAGGAATAAGCTTTTGAAAATTTTGAACTTAATCTAGCATAGCTTTTCCTTCTACTTTCGTGGCTGATTGCAGATAATTGCAAACCCGTAAACTTAAAGCTGCAACAGCTTGATTTTTCGTTGCCATGCAAGGATGCCATCATGTCCCTTCGGAATACGAGAAATCAGTTCATGTATTTTTCCCAACTCTGATTTTGCCCAATCCCAGACATCAGTCAAGTTGGGGAGTACATCTTCTTGTGCAGAGGTTTCGGAGCAACTCTAAATTGGCTATTTATCGGCTGTGCACTATCCTAGTACTTTTTATATCTTCAGCCAGAGAACAGCCAAACTCGGAATATTTATTTATTTTTTATTTATTTTGTTACTGTTTTTGAATACTCAAATGTTGTGTTCTGATATTTTTTGATGGATTAGTAAGCTTTGTTTCGAAATCGTATATTCGGACAGTTGACACCCAGAGGCCATGATCAATGGCGAAACTCATTTTCTTTGCCGGAACAAAAGCGAATGATCAATTTCTTTGTTTTACTTAATTAAATTCCGCACGCCTTCTCGTTTCCGCATATTTTTGCGTGTGCATATTGCACCAATGACTTGCTTTTCTTGTATTACAAGGTAAGTTTTTTCTTACAAAGCTGTTTTGGAATCTTTTCTGAAAAAACTTGGTTCTTTTGCGGCATCATTGCGAATTCTGAATTCTAACGAATTCTGATTTCAAATGGTTGAAGATTATTAAGATTTCAAAGCGTACGCGATGATCAATAGCGCAAATTCAGAGACAGCCGAAACGACTGAAGCAGATATTGCTTCAAAATGACGAGTATTGTAACTTAACTCACTTGAAATCCCCACAAAACTTTGGTGTAATCAAATTTTGTTTTCCATAGTTTTGAAATAGTTGGTTTAGGGGAACTTTTCAACAATTTCAATAGATCTATCTCCAATAACTCTTATGAAGTGGTTGCTGGAGAGTTTCTTCTTATTTGCAGCTGCTAGGATGAACCAGTACTCAGCAATAAGCACTAGTTTATGATTCTGGTTCACCGAACGCTCAAGTAATCAAGTGTTAGAGCAGCGGGTTGTGAAATGCGGAAGAGAGGTTTATTGTGCTGGCCAATGTAGTTGATATAATTCTCCCCATTTTTCCACAGATGAAGCAGGAGCGCATGCACATGTCTCAGCAATTGTACGTTATATAGCATTTTTCTGGTTCTTTTATATGCACAAATGCAAGAGGGAGACTTGGTTCTGTTAAGAAATTGCAGATTTCCAACGGCAGCTGATAAGGACGAATCCTTCCCAATTTTGAATGGGACATTCAAAATGATACCAATATATTTAAGACAAAACCTACACCTATCATGAACGAATTTTTTTGCACTAAGTTTTCTGTCTTTACGAGAGTACCGAGTTAGAGAATTGTTCTGTCTACCACTTTTGCCTTATAAAAGAAAATTCCTATTCAGCACTTCTTTATATTCAAGATTAGTCAAAGAAGAGTTCTTGTTCATTCTGTTGTAGATCTACATTGTTATTTGGAAAGATGGTGCAGAACATGCGTTTCCGTTTCCAGGATTTCCCTTTGGAAAGGGCAGAAGTTTTTTCATATAAAGGGGCGTGGCGTTAGCCAAGCACACCTGGGTTTTTGGATTTTTCTAGGCTGCTCTAAATTTTCGAAAAATAATATCGTATGATTTACAAGTAAAAGCAGGTGGCTTGCAAATTCTTTAAAAATTCTGAAACCAAAAACTTCACCAACAATTTTCAGACCCCCATCCCCTCTGTCCCCACTGCTTGCATCATAATATTGTTTTTATAATGGTAATACCGACCACACATGGCTATGGCCAACATGTTATTTAATTAACGAGTTCAATCACTCATTTTTGGTAGCCTTTGGGGAAAAGCTTCATGGACAATCTTTTATTACTGACCATAAGTAAGCACGGTTTGATTTCCGCCGCTCAAGAAAAAGATAAAAGCCTGGGACGTGTTGAAAAATTATATGGAGAAAAGCAGCCTTCGTCAAAGTAGCGTTATGGCGGCTCGGTGGGCCCTAAGCACCTAGATTTACCCGAAAACCCGCACGCTCGTCCGCTTATTACATACAACGCAACCTAGCCTACCAGTTCACCTTAGCGCGTAAAAAAATAATATTAAATTACTAACTTTCTCTCCTTATGACACAAAAAGAAACAAACGCTATCTAAATTAGTAAACTAATAAAGCAAGAAAAATCCCAACGCGGGAGAGGGTGCCCCGTCCCGTGCTACCGATGGTGCACGTACATAATATCTAAGCACTAGTTGACTTACCCGGCTCCGCCCGGCCCTGTCATTATTATATTCGTAATCAGCATGCTCGATTACCCCCCTGTGCCAACTCCCAGCCCCGTAGCTCAAATTTTGCAAAAAATCGATAAAATCGATATCGATCGATGACGAAAAGTAGCCTATGACACCCGCCGGGGCCCGAAGTGTATGTGTGCCAAGTTTGGTCCGGATCGGTTCAGAAATGGAATTTTCTATTCGAAACATACGTACAGACATACAGACAGACAGCTTTATATACAGGGTGTCCCAAAAAAATGTTTAGAACGTTTGATCGTTAATGTCTCTCTTCCCAAGAAGTCTTTTGCCTTGCTTCAGGTACCGTTTTGTAGACTGGCTTCAACTTAGATTTCCATTATAGAACAATCACCCATTTCTCTTCATTACTGTAGGATTACGGTAGAAACTTCAAAGAGGGTTCTGAACCATGAAAGGCCACATTTTGCCTTAAAAAGGAAACAAAACAGCCTGAAAACTTTTACACCAGGCTAATTAGAATTGCTGATTATAACTGTAAAGTTCCCAACTTATTATGATGCTTCATTGAAGAGTTATGCCAGGTGAGAGGTAGCGGCTTTTTTTCAATGTTCCTAAAAAGTGCGATTACACCGTTTAGAAAGCTTCGTAATCTTGTGAATAGTTGAGAATTGAACTCGGCGTCTATAAAAACCCTATTACAGAAGTTTTCACAATTTTTTGAAAAATTTTGAAACGGCAGCTTTTTCCACATTGACACCATATGTTTCAAGTTTCTACCGTAATCCTACAGTAATGAAGAGAGACGGGTGATTCGTTCTATAATGGAAATCTAAGTTGAAGCCAGCTCTACAAAACGGTACCTGAAGCAAGGCAAAAGACTTCTTGGGAAGAAAGATATTGACGATCAAACGTTCTAAATATTTTTTGGGACACCCTGTATAAGATGATAATGCTCCGAGGCTTCACCAATACAGATCCGCCACGTGTCGCCGGACAACAGGCGCGACAGCCTCTCCACTCCCAAGGTTCACAAGAGCTTAAAGGCAGTGGCTCGGCAAATCCTCGACCTTTGGGTTTTTCGCTTATTCGGAGTAACTTATACGCGCTGATTCCGGAAATCCACTTTTTAGAGCGCGAAAATGGCGAAAACCAGCATTTTTCAAACCCCTTCACTTTGGATTTGGACGAGTGTAGCGCTTCCTGCCATGGTTAGAGACGCAGAGTCGTTGTGGGTCCTTCATGTTTATAGCATTGCGGCATGCCATCTCTGAAGGCATGAGGGATATCGCAAGTTCGTCCAAGCGCGTGTAAGAATGGCTTGCGCGCAAGGGTTTAGGGGCAATTTCCTAGGCAGGGGTTGCATTTATGCGCTCGAAGCTGCTCCATTCTCGTGTTTGGGGTGCAAGCAACCTTCCATATAAAAATTTTGAAATGTTCGATTTCGCCAGCCACTGCCTTCAAATCCCAAAAGTTTCAAAAGTGGCTCGTCCAAAACAATTCCAATGTCTTGAATTCCAAACTAGTATGAACTCCGATCCGCTCGAGTGCTAAAGCGGAAGAGATATCAAGGGCGGGAGCTAAACTGCTAGGCACGAGCACGATCTAAAACACGAGAAAAGATTATCGATCAAAAACGAAAGCGAACAGACGCTGCAATGAGGCGCCGCCGCTATAGCCTTTTAGCTGGCAACGCGCCAAGCCGAGGAGAGGTCCAGCGGCGATTGCGGCAAACGTGGGGAAGTACCGTAATCTTCGCCGGATAGCGCGGCAGCAACTAGTGCTCCCGGCCTCCTACTTCTGGGAGCGCTCGCATGGCGGAGACGCGGTAAGCGTTTTCAAAGTGATCGCGCGATTTGATTCTCAATCGTTGATGCAAAGCAAGTATTGTTCCTCTAGATTTTCGAAAAATTATGAGAAGTTAACGCGAGAGCATAGCAGATTTCACTGTCTCATACAAAGTTTTTGTCTGGGAAATTGGTGCGTACAAAATTTTAATGCAAATTCTGCAGTAAACTTATGTTTAAGGCACATGCTAGACTTGACCCACCTGATCCGCTTTTTTCGCTTCATCCACATCAAATCAGTGAAATGACCAATAGCGAAGTGGTGGAACAAGTGGACCAAGTAGGCATTTGATTGGTCAGTCCACTGATTCGACCAGAGCGACTGGATGAAGTGGGTTAAGTGAATCAAGCGGATCAGGTTTGATGCAAGCCGTTGAGAAGAGCGCTTCTATATATAAAGCTTTTTTGAGGATAGTGTACTTCAATAAAATTCAAATTCTAGTGAAATTCAGTGAGAACTGCGAACCCTCCAAAGAATCTTGATTTTTGGCACCCACTCAAAAGTGCATGTGCTGTACCTCAGACCCATTAATTCTCTACTCAACCAGGGTTAGGCTTTGTGCGCAGTCATAAAAGTGATAGATAACCATGCGCCGATGATTTAGCTTGTCGCAGAGCCGGTGCAGAGTGCGAGTGCCGTTCATGGCAACGATCAAATGCCAAACATACCGCAACCGTTCAAAATCCGTTCATATTTTCGATTTACTGCATGCTATGAAATAGTCAATGTTATCTACGGTTTTTGCAGCTTCATATATTATCAGGCTGTGTCATTATTAGGCTGGTCCGAAAGTTCTGTCGTACTATGATTTTTGAGCGAGCAGTGGAAAACAGCGGATTTAATTTTTTGGATTTTTCTTTTCAAAAATTATAAGTTTTGTTAGAAACGTCCAATCAGCACAAATTTTGTTCAGCTAGAAGGAGCAGATAACCAAGACTATACTACCGAATGTTCGTTTTTTATTGCAAGTTTGAGATTTTTTATGGCCGTACACAGAAGATTAAAATTTTGAGTAATTTTCTTCTACCTCTGCTACGATCATTAGTAAGCTGCTAGGACATCATTATAGAGAGCATTACTAACTCATTTGAAGAAGAATAAAAGCAATTGGTGCAATTTTTATTTCAGAAATTTCAAAAAGCTCTACGAACTCTTTATATTTTTCATCCACTTCGTTCTCCCTATTCTCAATTTTCTTCGCCTTAGTAGTAACCTCATGCAAGGAACCAAGGCAATTCTGATCTTTGCTCTTATATATTCGTTTGTTGAAGAGGAACATGATATCATTTTATGTTGCCGATGCAAGCGAAAGCATTGAATAACATGCTATCTCATTTTCACATCCATTTTCTCGATTTTTTAATGGAATGTCTTTGCGACAATAAATCCAATAGCTTTTGAACCTCCATATTCTGTTTTGTAATTCGACTGAGGCTCGATTTTTATAATATCTTATCATGCTAAATTTACTCAACTTTAAATTGATGAATTCTGCTGAACAAGTGTCGGAGCGGGAGAGGGGCGGGGAGGAGATAGGTTGGGGAGAGGGTTATTCACGAAATTTTTCTAATTGAATAACTTTCAAGATCTGCAAATGTGCTGCATTTATAGCAGAGAATGATTTTTTAAATTCAGAAATTCAAATCTATTATTCAAGAAAGGGCGTGGTAACATTTATTCGGAAAGATTCTGTTTCTCCTTTCATCCGGAAGAAATGCATGATTTGTGGATTCTTCCCAAATGCTAGGTGCAAAACTAGCAATTACTGGATTCTTGCGTGATTATGCAAGCCTTCACATTCTGTTTTCATAAGGTTATACAAATAGAATATAGCCACTTGGTTTATTTGTGTATCAAGAGATTTGCATAAAGACATTTCTTTCCTATGCGAGGTTCCCGACCATGAGCTATGGCCACCATTTTCTTCATATACATGTATTATGTACACGTCTCAATTCCACATTTTCTTGTTTGTCGTTCTTGATCTTCCATATCAACAAATAAATATGTTTTTGCTGGTAAAACTCAAGCCCTTTTCATCATTCATGGAGGTTCCATTTCGCTGTTTTCCTTGCTGGTCTATACAAAATTTCGTTTTTTAGCGCAAATTTTTCCTTCCAATGTATCTCAATTTTGCTCAGCCACTCTGTACCACTTTGTCTTCCCGACACATATGTGGGCTATAATATTTCTGAGAACAACATTCTTTATGCGGCTTTGAATAACAGTGCTGTTTATTGCCACGGCGCACATTCGCTTCGATGATTTCAACGATGTTATTGTCATATTCCAGGGAGTGCTGACAATGTCGATTGATCTGAAACAGAACCTAGACGTTATCGACTATTTTGGTGCCTTTTTCGTTTGGATCATCTTCTTCTCTATTCTATTCATTCTATCCGTCACTTTCATCAATTGGTGCTGTATTCAGAAGCATGATGATATTACAGTGCTCGAGGAGGTAAGTGAAAATTAGCTCAACACTTTTCCAAACTAATTTCTGAGTGATTTCTGATGCATGGAAAGCGTGCAGTAAACACTTTATGAGAAAGAAGGCTTAATTAAGGCAAAAAACTACTCTTTTCGTAGCATTTACAAATGTTCAAAATACGCATTGAGCACTCTTTTCGAACAAAAAGGCTTGTCGTATTTCTGTATAAATTTTCAAGATGCGGTAATACATTAGGATTCTTATTGTTTGGAACTTCTTTTGAGTGCATTCAACAATTACAAACATTGACTTTCAACTTGGAAAAATTTGCTCGGTAACGGCAGCCTCCGAGTTGTACTAACGATATATTAAGTTATCACAAAAATTTTGTCTTGCAACAAACGATATTCAACATGCTTCGTACAACTTGGCCCTCAAATATATGCAAGGAGTTCAATCCATGTAAGATTAAAGCTAACGCCAAGGGATTTTTAATTCATATGAATCAATCAATACAGGTGTGTGTAAAGTTACTATGAAGGCTAATGCATGTCGAAGGCGCAGAAGCAGTATAAGTTGAGCGGCCGCGAAATCGGTGCGCGCGTATCTTCACCGTTGTAAATCCTGCGTCTCATGCGCTCTGCGGCTAACAAAGCCGCATTTGCGCCAAAGATATTGCACCTTCGTCGTACAGCAGCCTATAGTTTCCCAAGACTAGAAAGCAAGTAACTACAATAAGTCAAAAATGCGAAAATGTCTCGGTTTTCCGATATTTTATGCTGAACGTGATAGTCGCTAAAGAAAACGCTCATAAGAGACTTCAGAATTCAAAATGTACTTCCAAAAAATTGTGATATACGTTGCGTATGTGGGCAGCTAGCATTGCTTTAGCGAAAGCGTACTACTTTTTGCTTTCTTGATTCGTAGCCATAAAAATACTGCAACTTTCTTATGGTTGTCTGATGGGCTGTGCGAGCAAGTGGATGTTTTGTCGAATTTTACGAAGACCGATCTTCAGCAATTGTAAATTTCGTTTTGGCCGCTTATACTCGACGCAGCTGTTTTCTCTACTTCTGTATATCAGAAAAATATCTCTATGTCCTGTGTCCTCGTCGTCTGCTTGTTCTTTGCTTTGTCATTACTCGCGCACCAGATGTTAGAATGATTTATATCACGAGTGCGACACGAAAATTGTCTAGGGAGTTTTTAGCGGCAGATCAGAAAAATGTCATTTTATTTATCAGTCCTTACACTTTGATTCAACGAGATTGGCGGCTGGATGGCGATTTTTCTAGTGGGAAAGGAGATGATTGAAAATCACCCCCAAACACAAAAGGGGCCCTGGCCACTCTTAATTTCTACCTTGAGAAGTAGAGGGGAAAATTCATCCTGAAATCCGAAATGATGATCTTCTCAGACTAAAATTTCTATCAAGCGCATTGATCGCTCAATGATAGCCATATATACCAAGCAATTTTGAAATTCTCAGCTTGTTTACTTCTTACATTTTCAGTGGGGCTACAACCACAAAGTGCACATGCGTATGGGTCCGCATCGTCCTTCCGTAGTGGCACGAAGTGTTCGTCATCCAATCAAAGTGGACAACGGTCTTTAAATTGTGTGAATACACAAATGCCTTACAGAAGAGGAAATCAAGAACGCATTGTCATACTCTATGTGCATTCCCTTTGTAGTTTACTGTTAGAATTTAGCCCTTAGAATTTTGTTGAGACTATTGCACTGTCAGGAATCTACTCTCATGGTGGTCATGAGGCTTTACGATTTGCTTTACGTTATGTGCCATTCAAAAATATATCTTTTCAAACGTTTGTGTTGCTAGTTATCGGAAAAAAGGAAGTTGAGAAAATAATATTTAAATTTATTTCAAAATTACGTCGAACCAGTGGACCTATCCTATCAGTTTTCAAATTACTCGCTATATGAGGCAGGTACGAGAATGTTCACAAGCTCAGAACTTTGTAAAAGAAGAAACGCTTCTATTTTCCATTTATGTTGAGGTTTTCGCAAGATTTAGAAAAGCAACGCATTCTTCTGTCTAAGTAAAAATTCCCTTTCTATTTGACGAGGGTGCCTCACATGCTGAATCACATTTACTTGAGGGAAGATGAGAATAAAAAAAGAATTGCAAAAAAATGAGGTATCCAAGGGCAAGAGCACATACCATTTACGCAAACAGCTCCATCCTATTTTAAAATAACTCTTCCGCACTATAAATATTGTCGATATTATAAACTACGCTTGTGCAAGAGCCCATGAATTTTGCTATTGTTGCCAATGATTAGAAGAAGTTAAATTATTACTATTTGTAGAAAATGAAACGAAAATCAATCACGATCAAGCGAAGAATGGTTTATAAAAAATCAATTCCCACCGCATTCTTTGTAGCATACATTTCGAAAGCAACACTTAATTTACAATCAAATATGTAGAGCCAATTTGTGCCCGTTTATTTGTAATCAAAAAAGGGGCACTGGTGACTCGATTGAATATAATGACGAACGAAGTCAGATTCATAAAACGTCACTTTATGCGATAATAAATGTCGTTTACAATGGTGCACATGACTTCAAAAAATTACTGGTACTGAATCACCAATGCACCATAAAACCGGTAACATGAGGAAAGACTGATTAGCTTCAAACGAAGCATTTGTGCCCTGATTGAGGACCAAAAGTAGAGTGCACTTTGAAGAAAAGTTAAACTCGAGAAACGAAAATTTCGAAGAAATCTCAGTTATGGTACAAGAAGTGGAATAAATTAGATCTTAAGTGTTCTTCTCAGATTCAATGATGAAGTAAAGAGTGTAAAGCGATAAGTAGCACTGCGCAACTCCAAACAATTCCGGTTTTCTCACTTCTTACCACATATAGAACAGATTTGGAGACTCAGCTAGTGATTCTGGTTCGCAAGTGCCTCTTCCACACTTTTCCTCGCTTTTCTCTTCTTTGAGTTTCGCCTCACTTTTACATTTTTCAGGCTCTTCATTTCCGCCTTGTTCGCATCGTTCCTGGCTTCCTTCTTCGTGCTCTTCACTTCTATCTCCATCCCTTTTTGCGATTTTTTCTTCATTTTTGCTTGTCCTTTTCTTGTGTTCTTTCCCTCTTTTGGCTTTGGGCTCTTCCTCGGGTTCTCTTTCTTCTTCTTTTTCATCATTTTCTTCGCTTTCAAACGCGTAATCTTTTTGGATTTCTTGATTGCCCAACTGTAACTGCGATGGTTATTTTCAAAAATAAAACAAATAAATTATGCTAACGTAAGGCACACATACCTCGTAACACATTGGAGAAAAAGAGTCTGAACGCAAGTCAAGCATGTCAGAATCATCTGAAGACTCAGAAGGTTCGTCGTCTCTTCTATGGCCAATATGTCCAAAACAAACCGTAGCTTCTATCAGCCCATCGAAACGTCGTATCACCAGAAAAAAATCGTCGTAAGAAGCTGATAACAGGCTGTTAATTCACTTTAGTACTTTTGCATAAGAAGGGCAATGCTTTTGTTGACGTTTTCCCTGGTTTTGGGCTGGTACAGCGTTCTTAAGGTAAGCGTAACGGCATCTATAGGTACGAATTGCTCCTCGTGTAATTCTTCTACCGCTACAGGCAACCAATCTTGAAGGAGAATCGCGCTCCATTTCAGTCATCCAAGTCTAAAGAGTTAAGAATTAAGTATGGAGACTGGAAGTGATTACTTGTTCCTGGGTCTCTTATATGGAAACCGATCGAGAATCCGTGACTAAGCTATTGCCCAAGCGGCAGCTAATATAAATCATTCGTTGCCAAGAAACTCAACTTCAAACTCCAACCCAGACAGTACTTTTTACCGTACTCAACGTGAGACGGCCGTCGCAAAGGTGCAGTGTGGGCTGGAGTTTGAAGTTGAATTTTGAACGCGGATGAACCTTATGAACTGCCACTAGAGTAACGGCTTAGCCAAGCCCTTTCCGAACGGAACCCATATAAGAAGTCCAGGCACCGAAACGCCCAAATAGCCTTTAATGGGCGAAACAAACAAAAGCTACCTTGAAAAGTGTCCAACTGCTAAATATTTCCCTATGAATTGTAAAATCTGCTTCCTCATGGTGTTTCTCTTGACAATGTTCGGCAAAATCAGAGTATGTGTTGCACACCAAATCACATCTAGGGCAAACGACACGATTTCTGGGCTTTGTCGATGGCAAGGATTTCGTTGGCGTAGATGTCGTAGGGATGGTAGAGGGAACGGACTTTCGTGGTTCACACACTTGCTTATGAATATCCTAAAAAGCCTTCTATGAGATTTTTTTGATACTCTGTGCCTCACGGCTTGTGCCAGAGTTACTAACAACAGTGCAAACTATTTGTTTTTTCATAAAACTACAGGGTGTCCCAAAAAAATGTGAACACTGTTTGATCCTTAATAACTCCGTTGTTTTCATGTCTTTCGCCGAGCTTGAGGCAGCATTCTGTAGAGCGAGGTTCAACTTAGATTTGTGATATGGAACGAATCATCGATCGCTCTTCACTACTGTAGGATTACTGTATGAACTTCTGACATGTGGATCTATTGTGAAATATGCCATTTGACAAAATTTTTTTCAAAAAATCTGAAAAATCGTGTACTAGGGTTTTTGCGCACGCTGATTCCATAACACAACTTTTACGAGTGTTTTTAGCTTTTTTGACGGTGTAATCACTTTTTTTGACAAATGCTGGAAATTCGGTTATTTAGATTTACCTGGGATAACCTTGGAAAGAAGCGTCACAGTGAAGTGGAAATTTCATATTCGAACTCAGCGGCTTCCATTACCCATGTATAAAAGTTTTTGGCTTGTTTAGTCTTGTTCCGAGGCAGTATATGGCTTTCAACGGCTTAAAATCCTTGTCAAAGTTCCTACCGTAATCCTACAGTAATGAAGAGAGATCGACGATTCGCTCCATACTACAGATCTAAGTTAGACCTCGCTCTATAGAATGGTGCCTCAGGCTCGGCGAAAGACGTAAAAGCAAGGGAGTTATCAACGATCAAACAGTGTTCACATTTTTTTGGGACACCCTGTATTTTACACACATCTTAAACTGCAACACCAGTAGTGAAAATCTTGGAAAAACAACAGTGTCAAAACTTTTGTTTCTGTCAAAGCTTGTGTTTCTGTCGCCAAATGTTGCTCTGATACTACTTTGATTAGGCTACAGTTCTGCACAAAGATTATCTTTTCAAATGCAAAAAAACATTGTAGTTAGTAAATGTCTGTATCGAGTAGTACGAATGAGAAATACCAATCTTTACTCAAGAATTTCCTCCCGTAGAGTCACAAAACATTCTTGAATCAAACTGTCACTTAGTCGAGAAAGAACGAGTTGAATTGAATGATTTCACAAGAAGCGAAGTCAGCCTCATTTTCTCCCAGTTCAGGCTCCTGCACCCTACAGAAATTCGTAAGCTATAGAATGGCGAGCATCGACTTGTAGGGCAAAAAAAAAAACTGCTAAAAATGCACTAGCGATTCCTTTGAGTGATGACTCCTTCAAAGTGGCTATTTTTTGATGGAAGTAAAACCACAACTCAGTTCGAAACGATACCGTACTTCACTGCGAGTTTTCAGGTTGTGGCCAAATCCGCCCATTCTGCATAGAAGGAAGGATAATATGCCGTCAGGGTCGTTTTTCTTCGCACGTGTAAGCTGTTTTCAGTTGAGTCCAACAAAAGTCAAAAAAGTATTGCTAGGAATTTCTGCCTCAAGCTGCAAAACAAAGATGTATTATAGGTAAATTTACATGGAAGCATGAGATAGCCATAGGTTGTTACCAAGGTTCCCATGGAAGAGTAGCTAGTCCCTTGCTGCTTTATTGAAGCATTAGGCAACAGGCTGTTGAAATGCTTTAAAAGGGAGCCAGCTCATAATTGCAAAGTTTAAAATTTTGTAAAAAAAAACATCTTTCAGTTTGAACACCAATCGAGAAAGTTAATTTACAATGTTTAAAGGTTCGACCAACCAAAAAAGTAGTAAAGCGGAAAGTTGATGAAAAGATAAAAGCTCATGAGGATCACCAAAACAGGACAGCGATCCCCAGCAGCTCGAATGTTACTCAGACCACCTTTTTTTTTTAAATTTATACAACCTCTGCAGTACTAACCCTACCTTGAGAAATCTCATGAGTGTGCAGTCGTTGCCTAAATTTCGAGATTTCTATTTTTGCCTTGAAAAAAAAAATGGAGTAGACCTTGCTACTACTAAGATATAACACTTCTCGAAGTTTCTGAATAATCATTCAAAAAACTCAGTTCTCAGAGCACCAGCGCAAGATATACAACAATCAAATTTTGAATCACAAAAACTTCGGAAGCCTTTCATATTTCGTTTGCAGTCAGTGCTTCGGATCCCGCCAAAATTCGAGTTTATGAAAGAAATTCTTTAGTTATACTCCTAAGATCAGAAATGAATAGAGAATTTTGGCATTCATCTAAAAAATTCCATACTCGGAAGAAACACTAAATACGAGATGAGAAAGCTATATCGAATGTTCAATTGCTTCTAGTCCACGATTTTGAAGTGCTTCAAAGAGAACAAAAAAACATTTTAGAACAACTAATATAGCGGAACCTGGTATGGACATGGATAAGTGAACCAAGCATCAATCAACATTTTTGTATAGCCTTTGCTACTGCATACGCAGCAACCACGCCGATATTTTAGAATGATTTCAGTGTGACAGACTGTCTTATTCCGTAATCCAGACCTCCAAGATAGCTTTGAGACAAGCGCAATCTTCTGCGTCAATTTTAGGCGACTTGCTTTCCATAGGCGATTGTCGCACGCAGAGACAGGACGCCATTGCGGACCCCGATATCTCTGCGATCGAGCACACTTTCATTCCTTTTACCATCTGCCATCTCTTTCAAGATCGGACTGACTTGCTTGGAAGCAACAACGTCCAGTCTCTGCGCGCAATAATTCGCTTAAACTTACTTTTTTGTGTTTCCTAAGTGAACACTTGGAGTGGTAGAGTTTGCCACAAAGATCACAATTCGAGCCCGGTCCGTAAAGTGCTCTTCTTATCCTTTGTTGCACTTCCGTGATATCTTCAGCAGAACATTTGTGGACATTACGCAAATGAGTGTAAAGACTGCCGAGTAGAAAGGGACCTCCTCCACATATGTGGCAGTATCCATATGATTTCATGTGAGCTAAAGCATATATGGTCATGAATCGAAGATAAATTAATTTTAGACTGGGAAAGCGAATCAGAGTTGAAGGGCTCATGGTTGACGCAGATGCAGTTTTATTCGTTTCGCTCTGCTCGGCTATTATTATACTTCCCAAAACTGAGGATTTGCCTGAGGTTTGGGTTATGAAAGATTCTGACACTTTGTTCTTTACCGTACACCAATGGAGGGGGGGGGGGGGAGGAGGAAGCGGGGAGGCAGGCGCTGCCTTCCCCCGAAAGGGTCGCGAAATTTCTAAAAGTACCCTATTTTCAGGTGTATCAGCCGCACCCTTTTCACTCTAAAGGCAAACACGCCAAAAGACTGACTGTCATCATGGAGCGCGTTAAGTGAGAGCAGTATGCGATAAGGCGACCGCTTCGCGAGAGGTACGCGCGGCGGCACGCCTGGGTCTGCTCGCGTCTAGAGCAAAAAGGGTGCGGCTTATACACCTGAAAATAGGGTAGGTTAGATAGTTATAGGACTGCGCAAATAGCCTCTTTTTAAATGTGAATAATTAATTTGCAAAATTTTCTAGAGAATCATATCACTTATGGAAAAAAATTTCCCTTCTTTAGCTTTGGGGTTCGTAAGCCAGTTGAATTATTTGTAAAACAAATTAAAAATTCTTTGAAGAGCGTCCCGCTCCATTCAAAAGAAATTTGCCGCCCCCTTCCCCTCGAAAAATCTCTCGGACCGCCACTGCCGTACACCTACTGTAAGTTCAGTAAGACACACACCTTCTCTCTCCCAAGATAGAACACCACTTCCATGGTGTCAAAACAGCGACTATTCGAAGGGTGAGTCGTACTTACTAAATTTCATTCAAGTTCATGGTTTTGTCCCCTCCGTGTACCTACCGTAACCCGCGAAAATGGTGCAATCATGCTCAAGGGTCTAACAAAGGAAGCCTGTTTAGTCGAAGTGGCCTTTCTAAGTGAGATGTATACCAAATTAAAGGTCATGAAACGCTTATTCCAAACCTCCTTCCTTATCTACAGAACTTTACGCAAGAGGAATTATGAGTTTTTTGGAGCAAAGCAATTAATATGCATTTTTGTTAAAATGAGTTGCTAAAATTTGCTCTCAAATAATGCAACCAAGTGCAATGTAAGTTTTATTTTAGACTACTTTTCTGGATAAAGTGCTCTGAAGATTATCACTGCTTCACTGAAGAGCTAGAAAAACTGTCACGGCTATTTTATTCCTACTTGCACACTCAGTTTTTTGCTCCAATAAGCACTCATAACTCCTCGTCCATAAACCTTCTGCTGTCGAGACGCAGAGTAATTAGATGGTCCGACAGTCTCCACGCCAACTGGGCGGTGCCCAGAATCTCCAGATGAGCTGGCACTCCCCGGGTGCACGGTGGTCCCCTCCCCAATTATGTTCCCCCACATTTATATTCATGTTATAATGATAAAAGAATCTAGTCAGAATTGTTATGTTAGGCATAGGAAAGAAACTAAGGGTAGAGGGATCAAGTTACGAGAGTAATTAACTCGTAAACTTGACATGGAGGTCCCGGGTTTTTCTGAACGATTTTGTCGCATAACTTTCTCAAAAAAAAATGTAAGCATAGATTCTGCAGATCTTTGCTAATCCCACCACCGGCACCAGCCCTCATCTCCTACGTGAATTACGTAGCCCTTCTTTATATTTACCCTTTCTTTTATCTTTTCCCTTGAGTCCAGGCGATGGGTCTGAGTGTGTTTTCTTATTTTGTCATATTTTTTATGTCATAGTGGGTAATGAATATAATTATGTATTCTTTACCTACTGTGTGTTTGACAGTCTTTTTTTTTTGTTTCATAGCAGATAATGACTATATTACTATATTGAATATGGTATATGATATTTTTTATCTGCTGTGATTCCTTACAGTTTTTACCGTGATACCACGTGAAGAACCGTAAATATTTACTCTTTCTTCCTCTAGCCCCCTTTCCCCACCCTATTTATTTAGAAACAAATCTAAAACTCATTTTTTAAAACATATTCTACTTTGTAACTTCTACATTTTCTCTCTCATAATCTATTATCTTTCCAAAACATGTAAAATTTATTTTCACAACCATTTTTCACCATATTTCGCCTACAACCTTACACATTATTTTCAATCATTTATTTTCTTCCTTCTCACTTTCCATCGTTATTTTTTACACAAACTCAGGGACTCTATCGCCAACGCCGGCACTGTACATATGTATAGAATTTTTTTATAATTGTGTTTAATTGCCATAGCCGTTTTCTAATTGCCGCGAGTTCCACAGGCGATCTAGACGCCTGTGGATAGTCCGTAGGCTATGTTGCCTATGGTGATTCCATAGGCTATGTGATAGCCCATGGGGTTACCACAGGCCCTTTTCCCAGTCACGCCGATTCAGAGCGCCATTATCTAATCTTGAGTGGCATATAGGCGCCAGAATTTGACCTAACCGTAGCGGCTTGCTGTTTTAAGTGTTGCATTAAGCGCCTAAGTTAGCCCCGCCTATTCCTACATTAGGAGCTCACAGAGTTGGGATTCATTAGTTTCTCAAGAGGAACGAGGAGCAGTCAGTGGTATTCACTATCACTCAATACCCAACGATCCAGCTTGATATTCCCTAACCATTCGATAACCCACGTCTACAACAGGTACGATTTCCTAGCTTTAAGCGCTTATTTTGTTACTACTACGGTCTCCTTTCACAGTTATTTCCATTTTCCATTTCTTCGTTCTTATCTTATTGTCTAATTTGAAAAAAAAAACCAAAAAAAAATTTTTTTTTCCCCTTTCCGCATTTTATGAGCGTAGACCCCACTAAGTCAAATAAGTTGACATCTCCATCAAGCGAGCAGCCTAATTTTTCGCGCAGATATCGCACCCGTTCTGTAAGCGAGTTTTTGAAAAAGAGCGAGCAGCTTTGTAATTCTACTCCCATAAACAACACTGATACAATGGACGCGCAATTGCTTGAGAACCTACACGCTATTTTTGATAAAGTTTCCCTTTCATCATACTCAGACAGGCTACCCACATTCTCTGGGGACTGCGGCGCTAAGGGGCTAGTACAATTCATTGATGAATTCAATGAGATAAGTAGCATCATGGACATTTCTGAGGACAAAATGGCTAAGTTATTACCAGCGCACCTAAAGGGAACCGCAAAAGCAGTTTTCGACAGCTTCGAAACTGCTGACAAGAAAAATTGGCAAAATGCTATTAAACAACTAAAGGAGCATTTCTGCAATGATCATTATTTGGATATGGCGCGCGAAAAGGTCATGCAGATCGCAGCTCACCCTAACGAATCCCCCTTCATCTTTGCAAGTAGGATTAAGCGCGAAATAACGGAGGCATATCCTGGGGGAGAATTCGCGGAAAAGCGTTCATTTTTGCAGCATATGATATTCACAAACGGATTATCATCTAAAATCAAGCAAAAACTTAAGCTTTTGGGCCCGCTAAGCAAGGATTTCGATAAGTTGGTAAAGGATGCTGAGCGCATATGGGATCTAACACAGGGTGAAGAGGTTTCGCTTGAATCTTCACTGCTTCACGCGAAAATGGATAGGATCCTGACCCAGCTAGAGAGCCAAGCGCAGGTCAACACAGTTCACAATCAGCAGCGCGCATACTCCCCTAACTTTAGACGCCCAAATCGCTACAACTCTCCCAACAATTCGCAAAATTCCGACTATTCTAACCGCTCTCGTTCTCCCGCGCGTTACCAAAACTACAATAACAGCCGGAACCGTCCTCGGGTTTCTTTTGCTTCCGATCGCGATAACCAGTCATGGCAAAATAACCATAGGTATCCATCCAGGTCTCCCTCGAGGAATAGGAATATGCCTCCGAGAAGAAATTCAAACAATCAAAACCGTTTTCATAATAACAATTCAAATTCTTCAAACAGTAGGTACAATTCCAATACACGTTTTCAAAACCGTAACCGCTCACCACATCATAGCCAAAATGATAATCGTAATTCTTCTCGGGGACGTAATCCTCATGGGGTTAATTCTATAGCAACAAATTTTTCAACTGGCATAAGTAGTTCCATACCTTCATTATTTCTAGTTGCAATCATTTCACTTATACTTCCCGCTGCCTCTGCTATATCTGCTGACTATCAGCTATGCTCCTCTGGTAAATCGGGATGGCCTATAGCCTACCCCGAAACAGTTTCCTGCGCAATTACGTCAAAATCAGCGAGCGTACTACTCACAAAGGCTTCTGTTTTTGTAGAAAAAACAGAACCAGCGACTCTTTCCGCGTATCACTGCTTTAACAAAACTAGGAAAATTTGCAGTTCTTCTTATCTGCATATATCGTTTTCGTTAGACAGCGATGAGGAATTCATGTCTCCTATCGACCGCGCACTTTGCCTCAAAATAGCAAAAACCAAACAATATCTAGGTCAGCCATTGCATATATTTTCTCCAAACGTTTTCGGCACACAAAAACCCGTTCATTACTCCTATCCTTGGTTTTTTGGACAAAAATGTATATCCACAACCAACATTTATGTAGAGGAAGGAGAGATAGCAACTTTTGATGGTGACCAAATAATAGGACAATTCGGTGATATGGCAAACTGTAGCCTCAGTAGAGACTACTGTCAGCTCACCCATGGCACTGTTGTTTGGAAATCCATTCAAAATGCAAGTTTTTCGTGCAAATTTGTAAAAGCTGCTGAAGGTAGTGCATACGTCACACCGAAGCATATCGTTCTTGAAACCATACAATCTGCCTTCACTTACAAAAATGTTTCATTCACAAACCAGCAACTTTTGAAGTGGTGTTTGCCCGAAAATGTTGTGGCAATGGATAACGGCGTATTCATCCTAGTTCCTGAACTTTTGGATGAAAATCCACGCACAATTTTCGACAAAAACATAACTTTGGTACAACTACTCAACGCAAAACATTACAAACTCTCAAGCAGCGTTCCATCTCACACCATGGATAGGAAACAAACTTTTGACAGTTTCGGCATATCCCATAATCCTACCAACTCTACTCTTTTGACAGCGATATTCTCGCAAGCAAATGCTGTCACTAGCAACGCTAACGTTTCCCAAATAACCCTCACTACAAAAACAAAACGCTCAACCAAATTAGAGGAAGAGCCAAGCACAAAAATCGCGTCTGAAGCAGAAGGCAATGCTTCGAATTCACATTTTTCTAACTCTTACTATGATCCGCGACAATCTGAACTCAACACTAAGCTGCAATACCTCAAGTACAAACTCGATGAGGTAATTCAGCGTGATTTCAGTGTCATTTTTGAAAGGATATGCGTGCTAAACAATTTCAAAACTCTAACTATCAAAAGTATAGCCAAGTATGATCCAACAAGCGCGGCTAGAATGCTTCTCAATAGGAACGATATCTTCGCTATCTCTGCGGGAGATGTTCTTATAGTCTCCAAATGCAAATCTGTTCAAGTTGACCAAATTTATCCGGATCACAAAGTAAACAACATCTGTTATCTGGACACTCCTGTCCGTGTAGGAAAAACATTATTCTTCATTCAGTCAGGCACACGTGACTTGAAACTTACTTCATCTCATGCAAATTGCGGACACCTACCGCTAGGAATTTACAAAGACAGTGCAAATCGTTACAAATCGCCTAATGGTTATGTCCATGTGTCTCATGTCAATGTAAATTTACCCTCAAATATTGAACAACAAAATATAGTTTTCAATTCTCCTCCTATATTTCATTCTGAGCTTGCTAAAATTAACACAGAGATAAAATTCATCAGAGATAGAATGGAATCAGCAACAATTAGTTCAGCTTTTGATGCTCCACATAATCACAACTCTGACGCAAACTCTTTCTCCGAACAACTTCAAGAAGAGGTTGCTCAGACTGTAGATTTCGTCGAGTCAAATGCTATTCAAATCTTACAATCTCAAAAATCCATGATTTTGCATTCATTGGAAAAACATACTCTGGTAATTTATGCCATGAGAATTTTACTCGCTGTTATCATTCTATCATTGATAATTTTTATCTACTATCAAATATCTTTGGTGAAAACATCTATCGCTTTTGTTTTCAAAATGTTTCAAGTAATTTTCACACCATGTCGCAAAAAGACTACGCAACAAGTTATCGTAGCTACAGCATCTGCTCCCATCTACGAGGAAACAAGTTTCGTTACATTTTGTGATAACCAGACTCACCCGCATCCAGCTCATCCAAATTTGCAAGTCAAAAACCAACGCGAAACTCAGCCTCAGCTCAATAATAATCTCTCAATCAATAGATATCATGATTTCAATCCTCTAGTTATGTCTATTCAGCAATCAATCAATAAAGATGACGATGATATGGTAAAACTCGATCAATGATGACAGCCGAACTCGATCAATGGCAATGATGACGATAGCGCGATCGATGATGACGACAATGATGACAGCATGGTTGATGATGGTCAAATGGTCAACGTGTAAACTCCGAGATGATCAAATGCTATGATGAATTCCTTTCCGAAGCCCTGGTCAAAGATGAAAGCTCGCGGACGAGCTTTGCTAAGGAATGGACATGTCGAGACGCAGAGTAATTAGATGGTCCGACAGTCTCCACGCCAACTGGGCGGTGCCCAGAATCTCCAGATGAGCTGGCACTCCCCGGGTGCACGGTGGTCCCCTCCCCAATTATGTTCCCCCACATTTATATTCATGTTATAATGATAAAAGAATCTAGTCAGAATTGTTATGTTAGGCATAGGAAAGAAACTAAGGGTAGAGGGATCAAGTTACGAGAGTAATTAACTCGTAAACTTGACACTGCAAACAAGGAAGGCAGATTTGGAATCAGCATTTTATGCCCTACAATAGAGTATACATCCCATCTGAAAAGGCCACTTCGACTATGCATGCATTCCTTGTAAGAGGCATAGTGGCTCCTCCCCCCCCCCCCCCCTCCCCATTCGCATGGGGGCGAATATCGCGAACATTTTATTGTTCATCTGCGTTTTCAGATCAGCAAATGTACAGGCTGAGCAGCGCAAGAGCGCCGCTCTCACAGCATAATGCCTTGGCGGAAGTCCGCGTCGCTAGGGTTTTTCGCACGCCCCACGTCCTGCTTGTCTGCTCTCTCTCTTCGAGACTCGCGCTCTACGACAGCGCGCGCAAATCCCTGCCGCTGCGAGCGCGCAAATTTACGCCAACGGTTTGGCCTGATCCCCATTGAACCAAACCGTACGCGCACTTACTTCACATGTGGCAAAAACAAGATCCACATATGTAACAGAGTCAAGATCTCTGCAGTGCGTTAATACAGGAAGTGTATTAGATGTGTGTCATATAGGCCCCCGCCATAGTGCCGAAGTCACGCGAACGCTGCGCCGGTGCCGAGCCAGCACCGGGCTGTCCCATTTGTTCGGGGCGGGGCTAACCCTGTGCGGGCAAGGGCTAGGAGCTTCTGGCAGACTCGATCAATAGTCGGTGCATCTACCTGGTTAAGAACTAGGTCAGCTAGCCCCGCCCCATGAAATGCACGTGTATCGATCGAAACAGCGCCGGGGCAGCTCGGCGCTAGCTCGGCGCTGGCTCGGCGCCGGCGCAGCACTGGCGTGGCTTCCGCACTCTGGCGGGAGCCATAGCCTTCGCAAAATGACTTGAAGAAGGTAGGAATAAAGATGAGCGAAAAAATAAACAATAGACTTCGAAGAGGTATCAACTACTCTGAGACTTGGAGACCGAGTCTCGAATGCCTTCCTTGCACAAATATTTATACAAGCTTGAACTTGTTTCAACCTGGTTGCAATTAGTGGTAGTATTTAAGTATGATGATCACCAGTGAAAACTTGTAAGCACACAGTCAAACTTGGTTTGACAAGACGTGCGAAGCGCTCCCAGTTCCCTAGTCTCACAAGGGAACGATCCCAACTTAAGGTGGCGAATTGGAATAAACCGCACACCATTAGATGCGTCTTGATGAGCCGATTCCAAATCTACCTTCCATATCTGCGACAATGTTATCTGGAAGAAGTTATGAAAGGTTAAAAATGTGAAGTAACGGGGGTTTTGATGCATAATTTGCTTTAAAATCCAACTTGGAAGTGCACGACTAGCATCATATTGAGCGTAATGATTTCACGGAATGCTCACATTCAAAAGAAACGCAAATAACTGTTTTTGAACAGCTAAAAAGCAACTAAAGTACTTTGGTAAAAGCTATGAGCAATGAAAATTCCAAATTTGGCTAATATACAGCGCCATACCTCGAAAATTAGTTGTTCAAAAATATTTATTTGTGTTTCTTTAGAGTGTGAGCATTCCTTGAAATCAGTGCACTCAATATCATGCTAGTCATACAATCCCAAGTTGGATTTTGAAGCGAATTATGCACCAAAACCCCCTTTACTTCACGTTTTTATCCTTTCATAACTTCTTCCAGATAACGTTGTCGCAGATATGGAAGGTAGATTTGCAATGAGCTCATCAAGACGCATCTAATGATATGCGATTCATTCTAATTCGCCACCTTAAGTTGGGATCGTTCCCTTGTCAGAATCAATTTTGTAAACGCAGAAATAATGAAAATATTAAAAAAGTAGCTTGGCCGGTTGCAAGCCTCCAGGGCCGCCTCCAAACGAGCCGCGATCTCTTGCGATGGGCAGGCTGATTTTCTCCAGCGCATCTCAAAATGCTTACTCTTCGAAGCATTTTCCCCAAACCAACCAAGCATGCCAGCTGTTCTACTGCTTCTACAGAGGAACAGTAAAACTATCTCTCATGCGTCTTTTGAGTATCTCACGAGCCGAATTTGCATCAGATTGTGCGTAGTACGTAATGACAGACTGTCCAAATCTGATGCAATACAGTGCTATAAAATTTACCCGAGGGAAATATGATGCTTTATCTTCTGTGCATTTTCAAGGTCATGGTCTACCTGTTACCCGCTTCAGCATCTTGAAAAACCAGTTTTTATTTTCATCTTTAGTAGTAGAGTCCACTGCAACTGCGTTCTTGTGTTTAATTCATTATTTCCGTTTGAACTGTTGCCACTTATTCTGTCTGTGCTTTAGCTTGGGCAAGTAGCGTAGCGCTCCTTAGCATGGTGTCCGCTGATCCTCCGAAGCAAAAAACAGAAAAGGAGTTGAAGAAGGAAGCTGAAAAAGCAGCCAAACTTGCAAAATTCGAAGAGAAGCAGAAGAAGCTGAAGGAAAAAGCAGCAGCTGCTGAAAACAAGCAGAAAGAAGTGAGTTTGTTTGGAGTGTGCTTGTTACCTTATTGACCACACCGGTTATCTCTAAAACCTTTAGACAAAAGCCGTAAAGAAGCATGAAGATGCAAAGCCTACACCGAAATACGCAGCAGTAAAACCAGGAGAAAAGAAAGGTCTGTGGTTAAGCTTATTGGCTTACGAGATCAAATTTATCTGACTTTTCATCCTTCAGTTGTTAGCCACGAGCTGCCGAAGGTATATGATCCGGGTTATGTAGAATCTGACTGGTACGCTTGGTGGGAGAAGCAAGGTTTCTTCAAACCAGAGTATCAGCAGCAAAATGGCCGGTAAGTCGTATCTTTTTCCATTTGTTCGGTTCATTTTTGCTCTTTCAAGCACTTCGAATCCGAAGGGACACTTCACCATTTGCATTCCCCCTCCAAATGTCACGGGAACTTTGCATGTTGGTCATGCGCTGGCGACTACTATAGAAGACACTATGACTAGATGGTGGGTAGATCGCCATGGTCTTGCCTTATTTATGAATTTTTGGCAGGAATCGCATGAAAGGGAAAACTACCCTATTCAATCCTGGATGTGATCATGCTGGCATTGCAACACAGGTATTTTTTTGTGGGAGCTTTCGTAGTAATCTCATTTTATCTTCATTTTACTATCTTGTCATACTTTCTTTTGTTTTTTACTATCCTAGTAAGACATACTTTTGTAGTCACTATTGTGGCGAGATATCCACCATTTTTATTCTCTGCAATCAGCCTGTACTCCAGTGCGGACGATTTGCTATTGCAGGTAGTCGTAGAGAAGAAACTGCAGCGAGAGAAAGGCCTGAGCCGGCATGATTTGGGTCGCGATCGTTTTATACAAGAAGTCTGGAAATGGAAACATGAGTATGCTGTTCTGTTTGAAACTTTCTCAACCTTCATCTTATTCACTTTTCTTCAAGGAAAGGTGGTGTTATCTACGATCAGCTTCGTAAAATGGGTGCATCCGTTGATTGGGACCGAGCAGTTTTTATGATGGATCCCAAAATGATTCGTGCGGTCACGGAGGCTTTTGTTCGAATGCACGAGAGCGGCACAATTTATCGTTCGAATCGCCTGGTAAACTGGTCATGCGCTTTGCGCAGCGCTATTTCGGACATAGAGGTGAGTTTGTAAGCATTCTAAGTTGTAAATTCAATCAACATTTGTGTCTTCTGGTTCGGTTTCAAGTGGTCGTACCTTGCTCAATTTTTCATTATCTTATTCAGGTTGATAAGAAAGAGTTATCTGGTCGTACCTTGCTGCCTGTTCCTGGCTATGAGGAGAAAGTCGAATTTGGAGTTTTGACTTCTTTCTCCTACAAGATCAAAGGAGAAGGTACTGAGCGAGAAGTTGTCTATAAATGAATCTGCAGTTCCAATTTTAGACGGCGAAATAGTAGTGTCTACCACTCGTATCGAGACTATGCTCGGAGATACAGCTATAGCTGTCCATCCTGAAGATCCGCGGTATAAACATCTCATTGGCAAGGTATGAACCGCACAAATAGTCTTACAATAATTCCACTTTACCTGAAGATTCTTAGGTTTGCATCCATCCTTTTGTTGATCGGGAGCTGCCTATCATTGCGGACTCGTTTGTGGACCGTGAATTTGGTACGGGTGCTGTCAAAATCACTCCTGCTCATGATCACAACGATTACGAGGTGAGTTCGGTTCTACCTGTTCTTCTCCTACAAAATGTAACGATTTATCTTAGGTCGGCCAACGTCACAATCTCCCATTTATAAACTGTATTGATGATGACGGAAATATCTCTCCTGGCTGTGGCCAGTTTTCTGGTATGCGTCGCTTTGATGCCAGGAAGGCTGTGGCTGAAGCTCTTAAGAAACTCGGACAATATAAAGGCTCCGAAGACAACGCTATGGTTGTGCCAATTTGCAGGTTCTTTTGACTCCTTCCTATTCGTTCTGAAAACATTCACCTTATTTTCCAACGTTTTAGTCGCTCTAAAGATATCATTGAACCTTTACTGAAACCGCAATGGTACGTCAAATGTGATGAAATGGCGAGAAGAGCTATTGCTGCTGTAGAACAAGGAGAATTGAAACTAATTCCCGAATACCACGTTGCGACTTGGAATCGATGGCTTCAAAGTAATCGGTAATGTTCGTACCGTATCTGTGCACTTGTTTCACTTAGTGCTTTCTCGATATGTTTTTTTAAGCGATTGGTGCATCTCACGCCAGCTTTGGTGGGGGCATCGCATACCTGCTTATTTCGTAACAGTTATGGACGGAAAGGTAAGGCAATTCCAGTTTGCTGCAGTTCACGGTTCTAAAACTTGTCTTCTTTTATTCTTGTGGCAAAACAGTCAGATTTCTGTCAATACTGTTCACCCTTTTGAATCGTTTACCGATGTTTTTTTTTTCTCATGCTAGCAAGCACTTTTCCATGCTCTTATTGTTATCCTGGTCTTTTTAAGACTGTTGCACAGGTTAAATATTGCGCCGAATAGCACGACGCAGTTGTGCCGTAGCTTGTTGAAAATTGATCTATTGTTAGCATGAATCCTGAGATTTCTAGACACCAGCTGGAGATCCTTGCGATGACCATTATTGGGTTTCTGCTCATTCAGAAGAGATTGCACTCCAGAAGGCAGCAAAGAAGTTCAACGTTGATCCCAAGTACATCAAACTCAAATGGGGTACGCTTTCTTATCCACCTTTTCATGTTGCGCGATGTGGCTCCTTTAGACGATGACGTGCTTGACACATGGTTTTCTTCTGGTTTGTGGCCATTTGCAATAATGGGATGGCCTGAGAACACTTCCGATATGCAACTCTACTTCCCATCTAATGTTTTGGAGACCGGTAAATGCGTATACATGCCGAGGCAAATATTGAGTCATGAAGATGCTTAGGTCATGATATTCTCTTCTTCTGGGTTGCACGAATGGTATTCATGAGTCAAGAGCTAACCGGTAAATTACCTTTCAAGGAAGTAAGTGCAAGCTTCATCTGTAACCGGTTTCTTGCAATGTTTCTGTTTAGGTGTACCTTCATGCGTTGATCCGCGACGCACATGGGCGAAAGATGTCAAAGTCTCTTGGCAATGTCATCGATCCTCTAGATGTGATAAGGTAGAAGATATGATTGCCATTTTTTGAAGACGATAAAGTTTCTACTTCAGGGGTGTAACATTGGAAGAGCTTAATCGACAACTCACTTCTGGTAATCTTGACGCGAAAGAACTTGCCATTGCTCAAGCTGGTCAAGCCAGAGACTACCCCAAGGTAAGTTTCTGCCGTTTTTACGTATTAGCTCCATAAAACAAATATTAAGGGAATTCCTCAATGTGGTACCGATGCTTTGCGTTTTGCGCTTTTGGCCTATACCAGCCAAGGTAGGGACATCAACTTGGACGTTCTGCGTGTCCAAGGCTATCGATTCTTCTGCAATAAAGTTGGTGTCATTGAATTTTTTCAACACATTTGTTTACTATCTCCATCTCTCTAGTTATGGCAAGCTGTACGTTTCACCCTGATGCAGCTCGGTAACGATTACAAGGCCGAACCTTTCGAGGTATTAGAGTAGTCTTTGCAGTGGAGTTTGCACTTTCCTTAAAAGCTGTTCAGATCTCTGGTAAAGAATCGATTATGGATAAGTGGATTCTTTCGCGTGTTGCTCACGCTGTCGAGCGCTGCAATACCGATTTGGAAGCATACAATTTTACGCAGGTTAGCTTTGCACCTCGCAAGTTTCATGTGACAATTGAGTGTTATTTTATTCTTCATTTCCCTTTCAACATTCGTCATTCATTTTTCTATGAGAGTTCACGTGTATGTTTTAGTTCACAACGACTGTCTATGACTTTTGGCTTTATGACTTATGTGACATATACCTTGAATCTGTCAAGCCAGTAATCTCGTCAGGTGAGCATTCATCATAGTTCTCCTCTTGAAAGCTTGAATAGTGTTTTCAGGTAGTGATGAAGCTCGTAAAGTTGCAAAAGCTACACTCTACCACTGCGTCGAAACGGGCTTGAGATTGATCAGCCCTGCCATGCCATTCTTGTCCGAGGAGCTTTGGCAACATCTTCCTCACTTGGACACGCATCCTCCGTCCATAATTGTACATGCTTATCCTGAAGCTTCGCAGGTCTGAAATCTTTGCTGTATACTTATGCTAACTCAATGCGAATCTTCTAGTATTCCTACACAAATGAGAAAATTGAAGCAGATGTCGCATTTGCAATGAGCGTTATAAGAACAGTTCGATCGCTGCGTTCAGACTATGAACTGACAAATAAAACCAAAACTGATCGTAGGTTTTCCGAACTTTTGCACCGGTTTGAATGCTTTCAGATATATCTTGTTTAGTATACGCTTCTGTTACCGACGAAGAGGATCGTCGCTGTTTAACATCTCTCATCCCTTTGATTGAAACCCTTGCTTTAAGTAACAAGGTAGGGATTTTTCCTTCTCCAAGCAACAGTCGGCAAAGTTGGTGCTGATTTGTCGTAGGTTGCCATCATCTTTTAGTTTCACTCTAACGCTCATCCTAGATTGTTCTTACTCGAAAGTTTTTTTGAATTGTCCTGTGATATACACTATGCGTATACGAAAGTGGATGTAGTACATATACCTACTTATCCGCTCGCTTCGGGAACGCTTTGGAGCTTTTATGTCTGTCAAATCCATAGCTACTATTGCAAGATGTAGAAATTTCAGCTCCCTCATCTCATATACGAACGCTATCAATCACCTGCTTATGATTACACTACCATTCAGATGGGAGAGATTTTTTGCTATAAAATTTGATTTGTAGGTGGAAGTTTTGCTGCAGTCCAGTATCACTCCAGAAAGTATCCCTAGTGGATGTGCTCACGTTACCATCTCAGCCAGATGTAGTGTGGATATCGGACTCCAGGTACACATATCGCAAGTTTATTTTACAATGACAATCCATAGTTTTAGGGTATCATTAATGTCGAAAGAGAGCTTGTTAAACTATCGGGTAAGAAAGAAAAAATCGAGGCGTCTATAGCGAAATTGGTTGAGCAAGAAAGCCGTCCCGATTACGAAGAAAAAGTGCCTCTACCGGTGCGCGTCACTAACACAGAAAAGGTAACGTTTCATTTTTGTTTCAAAGTTGTTCTTTATTCAAATTTTACTGCAGAAGGAAGCGTTACTAGTTGAGATGAAGAGTATCGAAGCTGCCATGACGGCGTTGAGTGGTTAAATACTATGTTTTAGGTTCGATCTTGTTGATTTTATCATAATTATAGCTAAATAATTGTTGACATTCACAGAATGTGCACACTGAGTTAGTCAGCCTTGTTTCTGTTATTGCCGGTTGTTTGATAAATTTCTAATTTGTTAAAAAATCTTGAACCATCGTGACCTTCCTTTCTATCGCTTTACATAATCGGTGAGTATGCTGGTTCTATCTTCTAAGACCAAATGTGTATGCATCATCACTGGTGGACCTTTGCTTCGTTGGGACCTTTGCTTCGTTGGTTACGGTTTGTATGATGTCAAATAAAGGGAACGGTTCGGTAGACGTCACTTATCGGTTTAGTTTTTGTGTTGTCTTAAATTACTTCTCTGTATAGGTACAAAAAGGTGAAGTCGAGTGGAACTGAAGTTTGTCGAATTTGATAGCTCTCGTTGTTTCTAGCATTTAATCAGGTAGTTACATCCCCTTTCTTCGCAATAGTGCAGAATACGCGCAAATATCACTTGTTCCTGCCTGCCCTCACTTTGGAGTGTTTGATGATAGTCAATAGCTGCTTGATTATGTGAAGGATAAATTTTTGCAGAAGCAGAAAAAGACAAATGAGAAAATAATTGTAATCACCTTGGCTTTCGTCTTCTTCGTCGATATTAGCAAGCTTTTAAGATTTCGTAAATGTTACGGAATGAATTACGAAATTTATAAATCCAGTTTCTCGATTGCTGCTAAAATAGTTGAAGAGCGCATTCGCAGCCGGCGAGGGTAGACGAGTTAGATGAGTAGTAGTAGATCAAAATGCGAATTTGCTGCGGGGGAGTGAAACGTGAGTTGATTTTCTCCCACGTATTTGCGCAGGCGCACAGAATTCTAATGGCTCAGACTACTCATAAGCATATGTGAATCTGTAAAAGTGAGCATAGCTATGTTATAAAAACAATTGCTGAAATGGCTGTGAATTTGTAAAAGTGAGCATAGCTATGTTATAAAAACAATTGCTGAAATGGCATCACCCCACAAACACAAATTCTTGCGAAAAAAATTGAGAACTTGAGAGGTGTACTGCTGTTTTATTGCAGAAAGCTAATGGTGGACAACCCCGCAGTACAACTTGGTGCTGCTCAACACCATTCCACACCATTCCTCACTAGTGCACATAAACACAGCAACAGCAAGTGTTGATACTCAACCCCATTCCACACCATTCCTCACTTAGGTATATAGCAATAGATGGTGTTGAACAACATGATGACTACCCTAATTTCACGCGTACAAGGCGCGGGGTGGTCCTAGCTTTCATCGAACTGCTCAGCCGCCCCAACGTGTTTTAAGAAGCGATCCTTATGCCGCACGATTCGTCAGGCAAAACGCAGCACGGTATGGGGTTCCTTTGGTTACGATGTCCTTTGCCCTGTTCGGGCTGGTCGATGAAAGCTAGGACCACCCCGCGCCTTGTACGCGTGAAATTAGGGTAGTAATGATGAAGAATACAGCAACCACGAATGACGCTGCTCAACGCCATTCCACACCATTCCTCACTTTTGCAGATAAACACAGCAACAGCGTGGTGATACTCAACACCATTCCACACCATTCCTCACTCATATAGCAACAGTAAGATGGTGTTGAACAACATGATGACTGGTAATGATGAAGAATTCAGCAACTACGAATGACGCTGCTCAACGCCATTCCACACCATTCCTCACTTGTGCAGATAAACACAGCAGCAGTAAGATGGTGTTGAACAACATTAGTATTAGTAATGATGAAGAACACAGCAGCAACAATGGCGCTGCTCAACACCATCCCACACCATTCCTCACTTGGCAGATAAACTCAGCAACAGCAATGTGGTGTTGTTCAATAACATTATTACTAATGATAAAGAACACAGCAGCAGCAAATGGCGCTGCCCAACACCATTCCATACCATTCCTCACTGGTGCTGGAGGATACAGCAACAAAATGGTGCTGCTCAACATGGTACAAAAGTGCTAAAGTGCGCAAAAGCGTTACAGAGTGCTGCTCAACAACTGAAAGCTTATTACAAATGTGAGATACAAAATAGGCGATTTGTCGACGACAGTGCTTTTCATATGGGCATTGTATCTCGTTCTCAAACTGTGCACAGTTCATTCAAGATGTGACAAGTTCTCATGTCCGTATTGCAGAGCTCGGTCAAATGTTGACTGCAAATTAGAAGCTGAAAAAGATTGTCCCTACTAATGGGTTAAAAGCTCTTGCATTGTCGGAATATCCTTCGGCATATAAGGAGCGTGTCTCTGATTTTCGAACGATCGGGCTCCAAATCCTGCTGTTGTGATGCGGCAAAATTTTTTTCAGAAATGCGAGCTTTATTCTTTGTGCATGGTTTGTCTTCTTGGCTCTTGAAAATGCCAGAAGTCGCATTAGCCTTTTGACATGAGATAGATGTCATCTGAAGCAGTTTGAAACGCTGGTTTCGGAACACCTTCCTCAGCTGCAGAAGGAGTCTGTGTTGGGAGATATGGGCATTTTGATTACCAAATTCTACATTGTTTAGGTATTTGATAACGGAAATCCAATCAAATGCTTGTTGAAGTACTACAGCATAACATTGAGGAAGGAGTTAAATAATATTAAGCATTGATTTACGGTTTTATGTGTGTTTAAGCTCGAAATACACAGGCTCTGGTAGTTCCGCTTATTTTCAGCGTTGCAAATTTCCTGCAAAATAAATTCAATATCTCCCGACCCAGATTCGTTCTGCAGCTAGGAAAGGCTTTTATAGAATTAGCGTTTTATGCTGGTAACGTTACCATCCTGAGTAATGATTCTGTTGCTACGAAACCTTCGTTGGTGTCAAAGTAATCTTCACTTACTTAAAACATCGATAGTCTTGAAAGCTTGCAAGTGTTGTACTCCTTTCCAAAATCAGCAATTCGCTCTTCATTGCTTAATTTTGAGCCTTTAAATATTTCAGGAATGAAGAAACATATCTGATTCATATCTCTGCATACTTTTCTCCGAGTAGGCCTGAAAAGAAATGCGAGAGAGACCTCAAGCTGAAGGAGGCTGAAGCAGCACCGAGTCTTGAGCTTGTTGGGTGATTTATGATTTTTGTGCTGACCTGCGCAAGTGGAATGAATGGTAGGAAGAGTTAGCATCCTGCATGTTCTTGGCTTCTCATACAAACCCATCTCCCCTTCCCCCTCCTCCCCCCTCTCACGAAATCTGGACAGGGTGTGAGTGAATTCTAGAGCTCGAACTTTCTACTTGAAATGATTGACGATTTATGATTTCTCTGAATGAATCAGACTGCCCCCAACCTTTTTTTCTTCTGTTACCACTTCAGAGAAAAGCGACCAATTAATCTTTCATCTAACGTTGCCGGGCCGTTTGAGCAATTACTAGTTTGCATGTCAAAAGACCGGAAACATCATAAGCAAACGGTGTGAATAATTCAGTGCGCCGAACATTGGATCAAGACTGATAGCATGGATATGTACGGTGTTTGTGTGTCGTAGATCATAAATACTACTGAGATACTAGCTGGGTTAGATTGAGAAGCTCCAGAAATTGCTATCTTCTAACTTTACCCGGTCTTTATGAAGCATGTAAACCTAATCAAGCATCTCTTGACATCGACGTAGTATCCAGTCCAGTTACATTTTCATTAACTCATTACATCTCTTTCAGTTGACGTGATACTCATTTCCCCTTTGACAACTAGAAATCCCTCTTACACTATGTTTATTTGAAATTTGTAGTATCACTGTTGAGGTTTCAAGAGACGTTAAAGAACTGATGATCCAATGTGTAATACTAAAGCCGTGGGGATGATCATCAATTGAAAGTATTTTATCTCAAAACTTCTGGCTCCGTCTCTGGTTTGCAATGACCGAGCTGGACAGAAACCTATATTTGTGTTAAGGCGTGAATTTTTTTTGACGGACTTTAGCTGCACAATAAGTAGTTGGGATGAGCAGATAAGCAGTTGGTCAACTCCACCAAATCTCATGCCTATTGAGCCAACCTCCTTCATACCTAATCAGTTCGACTACACCAATCTATTTCTTATTCATGAAAGTTGTCGGAAGAACCTTTAAGGGTCAAATAGTAAATCGCTAATCTTGCTGATTATAAGCATACTAATGTTCTGTGGTAGATAGTCTCTTGTATTTAAGATCAATTTCCACGCACATTGTTTACTCCATACCTTATACTCCACACCTTATGATTTTGCTTTCGGAAAAGGGTGATGTTTGCCAAATTGTTGTCGCGTGTGATCAAGTGTCATAACATTCATTCATTTCGAAGTAGGTGACTGTTATAAGCGGTATGTCAAAACAACGATATTAACAGGTGTTCCATCCTTCGTTTCACCTTAGAGGCTTAGAGGACGAGACCCTTCCAAATTCAAATTACTGTTTTTTTGTACAATCTGCTTATACCCTCTAGCATGCTGCGAGTTGGTAACTGATGATAACTAATAGTAATAATAGTAGATAATAGTGTTTGTAATTGTAATATTACAATTTGAGAACTCCGTTTCCTTCTTCTTAGACGGAGTATTGTGTTGTTTCTACGCCATCCCTGGAACTCTTCAAAAAGGAACGAAGGCGATAGTTAAAATAACCCATCTTTCTATATAAAATTGATATAGGATTTATAATTCAAACATTAGTTTAGATGATAATAGAATGAAATTCGACTCTTTTTGGGAAGTATGTAGTGGGGGGGGGGAGAGATGGGAATGAGTTTAGATGATTTCACAGCTTAGTTCGGTTCAGTGAATTGGAGTGAGTGTAGAGAAAGAGTAGCAAACACTTTGGTAACCCACGCCAGAACTATGACGCGTGTTTCTACCTTGCATCTTCATCAAAAGTATAGGGTCCCTCCAAAGCCGCAGAAAAGATAACTGGGATGCTTTTAACGTGGTTCCTAATTGCTTTAGCTCCACACACCGAGCTAGTTCTTTACGGGAGTTTCAGCACCGCAAATTGTGCAATCCAATTATTTTGTTCCAAGCCGTGAGTGCTGTTAGCTAGAAGGCTACGTGATGACAGGCATTCCTTTCAAATGGGTCATCCGACTTCAAAAAACGACTGTCGCAGGAATTTAGCGCAGAAATTGGTTAAAATTACAGTGTGAGAATAAGGACATGACGTCACATTTTTATAATTTGATCCATGGCTCTGGGGCCGAACGACTCTTATTTCGCCTGATTTTAAACTGTTTCTTCTGTGCTATGATGTAAGCCTCACTAGTAT